TAAAAAAAAAAAAAAAAAAAAAATCACTGCTACTCTGCACGTACAAGGATGCAGAAGAAGAACAATCTAAGCACTAATTTATTAAATAACAAAGCAGTACACAGCAGTGGCATAAATTAAAATGGTTTAACATACAGCATAATCCAGAAAAAAATGCCTGGCAGTCTAAACACTCCTTATATAAAAACCTCTCCCACAGAAAGAAGCTGTCCTTTTGCTTTATCACCATTCCTTACTTGTATTTTACCAAAATATTCTACATAAATATATATATAAAATAGTGAGTCTTAGTGCAAAGAAATCCTCTAAGGATAATAGCACACTAGCTGCAAACAGCAAATTACAAAACACTTACTGTGATTACCAAATATTTAAGTACTTCTACCCTGTATAGGATGTATTTGTTTGGTGGTATGTAATGACAGAAAAATTGCTTATACTTCCATTTACATACTTGGGCATCTACTTCCATTTACACCGAAAATCTACAGAAATGGTTAAAGCGATGCTTAGCCTAACACAGCACTGCAGTAGAAATTTCTACCACGGTGGAACTATGCAAATCATCTGAACAGGACAGCTGACTGTGCTGTTACTAGTCATGGCCATACATTTAAAATATGTATATTATATACATATAACTTGCATCTGAAATAGCTCCTCAAAGGGGCTCTACATTCGTGAATCCAGAAACCTCTCTGAGGGACCATGATGCTCCTGCTGTCCAGTTTTCTACCTTCGGTTCTTCCTCAGTTAAAAAGTGTTCCGGAGGATTGCATGACAAAGTACCCAAGGTCTGCAAAAAGCAGCACCAGGGATGCAGCAGAGTTGCTGCTGGATCTGCTTACTCCTGCAAAAAAGGACTCTCCAAAGCTAAGTGGAGAGTTTGTGGGAAGAGCTTTAAGAATCAGAAAGCCAGAAAGTTCCTTCCAAGTAAAAGAGGAAATGCTGATGTTTGTGCCTCACTTGCATGCCCTGCCTCTCTTGAATTATGTTGCTGCAGTGCATTACCCAAGGAAAACATGGCAGGCGGGAGAGGTCTAATCACCAGCGATCCTGGTTTTCTCTGATAAAAAAGAATCCCCAATTTTCAGATTAAAAGAAGTAATCCAAAATCCACATTTTTCCATGATTAAAATGACGTGCCACACGAATAGTGGTGTTTCATTTTAATCATGGAAAAACGTGGATTTTGGGTTACTTTTTTAAATCCAAATATTGGGGACTTTTTTTTTTTTTAAATCAGAGAAAACCAGGATCCCTGCTCATCACATAGCAGAAGTATCAAGGATTATCAGTGTGTGGCAAGCAAAAAAGCACTGAAGCCCTGAGAAAACTGTAGACCAAAGCAGAATCAATAAATATATGGCCCTTCATCTCAAAAAGCCTTAACCACCAGCTCTTGCCTCAATAGGAAGCCAGAATATAATCTGACCAGTAGCAGAGGATAGAATAAGCTTTTAACGTCTTACCATTATTAAGAACAATTAGAGACAGTCAGCTAAATTGTTAGGCTTCATGTATATTACTGGCAAATAATTCTTTTTTAATTTCAATTATGAAGAAGACTGCGAGAAGCTCTACATCATGATTTAGGAAGGAAAAAGCTGGTCACAATTTGATTACCCTGAAACATTATATTTTTTCTGATAATGAAACTAAAACCAATTTGTTTCTCATTCAAATGCACCAAGTGGGAGTCCAGTTACTGTAACTGATGTATCTACATACAACTTGCTTCTATTTATAGTAGATGTGGTACTGCACAAAATGCACACACACTTATGTAGCATCAGTCATACAAAAGTATCCCAGGAGGCGGCAGTTTATTTTAGTCAATTCATAAAAGTAACTTAGTGGCCACAGCCAGCATCTATAGATGTGGTACAGCACATGTGAGTAGGAAATAACAGCTGAATTTCAAGGATCAAGCACAGGGAAAGCTGAGGCAACAGAATAAGGGGTGGAAAGTCTCAGAATAAAGAAGAAAGATGGATTTTTAGGTGGGATTTGAAAAGGGACAAAGATTTAATCAGTACAGACCAGCTGTTTCAGATAGTGAGGACAGAAAAATATCTAGTGTTGAAGATGTGTCAGAAATATGCTAAAGATCAGAAAAACATGGGTTACAGACTGCAGAGAAGGGGATCAATTAAGACAAATAATTTTGCTCTGATTCAACAGATAAGAAGCCACTAAAGATATTTAAGAAGGAATGCTATTGTGATTCTTCAGGGTAGACAGAGTAAGTGAAAATTGGAAAACGGAGTCATGGCTTCAGTCCACTTAGAAAAGAAGGAGGAGGACTCGAGAGTAGTTTAGATGAGAGGAAAAGAAAATAGGAGTAAGCTTTTCAACAGTGAAGACAGCACAGAGATGTGATGCACACAGACAGCAAGAATAGTCATACATTAAGGGGGATTTGAGAAAAACTAGTGAACGAGGGGCAGCCAGGACTATAGTTTTGATGAAGGGTACTCAATCAATCAGGGCATCAGTCTTGGACTTCATAAACTGAAGAAATTTATGATAAAATGGGGACCAACAAGATTAAGGAAAAGAAAATGTGAGAAAAGAAATGTCACAGGGCACCTCTACAAGTGACGTTATGTTGCCGTAGTGACGCACTACAGTGACGTAGCATATCACTATGGTAATGTAGTATCAGCAGGCACAAACCATGACACTGATGCAATGTCGCCATAGCAATGAGCTACCATGCTATAGAGCATTGCTACGGTGACATAACTACTAAAAATAACCATGCGCCACCGGGATGGCGCAGTAACGGCTGTTACTATGCCATCATTTAGTACTTCCTAAAGCTAGCGCTAAATGACAGCGCAGCCACAACTGCGGCGTGGGGGGCACATGTAGACACACAACACCCACCGATTATCAATTTAGGCAACAGTTTCAGGGTCCACAAACTCAGGAGGTTTTTAAGATATATATCTAATTAGTCCATGTGCAGCATTCAAGCTGAGATGCCATTCTGTTTTTACTTTACAGGGCTGCCAATTGAAAGGCCTACCAGATCTGGTCGTAATTACATTAAGTGACATTAGGATCATGATATCACAAAATTGGGATCCATGCAAGTGTGCAGTAACCTGGCAAAATTCTACTTCTTCAATACCCCACTCATTGCTCAGAGACAAAGGTGCGGTAGATTAATACTTTTTCAGTAGAGGGGACAACAAATCAAATACGATGATGAAAACTTAAGGCTGAGACTTTTTAAATTTCAAATGGAAAAGCCACTAGAATTATGTAGGGTATTCTTCATTATTAAAAAAGGGCACTGAAGTGAGGAAGCATCCACGGCTTGTAAGGACGCTGTATTGATACACCCCCGTAATATATAATTAGGCAATTTCTTACCAAAATAGTCCCCTGAGAAGTGACGCAGTAACAGAAAGAAGACAATGTTGAAAAACAAGAATACAGCAAACATTTTAACAGCTCTAGGCTTCTTTTGAGAAACATAAACAACAAGGTTTACACATAAGAGAGGAACAAAAGTGGAGAGAGAAAAAAATCAGATGACAAAAACAAGCAGATGCAAAAGATCAATTTGACAATCAATGTCTGAATGTGAACTAACATTTGAAAAAACTAAACTAAGAAAAAGGCATTTCTTCGGCTTTAAAATGGCATCACATTTTGATCTTGCGTCAGTAAAACACCCCTGCTATTTTCACAGAAACATTATGCCCTGGAAAAGTACTAAAGAAAAAGCATACCAGTTTGGTGCTGGCTAAGGACAGGCAGAAGCTGTCCTAGTCGATTAAAACAAGAAGGACAGATAAAAAAAAACAAGCAAGAAAACGTTACTGAATTTCAAGAAATGTCATAAAGGTAAGACCTTGCCTGTGTAATATAGCGCGTCTCAAGACAATCTGAATCCTCTAGCCTCTCAAGTGAAAGTGCTTGAGTCATAACTGACAAAGCACTAAGGAACAATAATACAGGTGGTAAAGGAGTAAACAGTTTGCCAGGTTAGGATTTTTCCACCTTTAACTTTTATTGCAACGACACTGTTCTACTTTAGTTAAAATCCTGTTCTAGTAACATGCCCATTCCAACTTAATAAAAGAGGCGTTTTTCTATTTGCTAATCTAAAATATGTAGAACATGTCATTTAGATTTGCTGTCTTATCCAGAATGAGTTTAAACTCTTAAAATGATTAATAATTGAAAATGCTGCAAGTATAAGCAGTGTATCAAATGAAGGTTGGCATATAGAAGTCATCTTTTGATATATAGCACATTTGATATATTATGTATTATAAATCAAAGAATAAACATTAAAGAAATATCCCAAGTTCAAATGCAGATACTCAACTGCATGCACAAAGGAAGAAAACACCCAGTAAAATCTTTTCCCCAAAACAGTTAAAAATGTATCATTTAAAAAGGAGTTTGTTATAAACAAAAGGATCTGCAGAACCTTTAACACATCTACCTATTTTAAAAAAGAAAGCAAAATAATGAATACTTTTCAGTGCCAAAATTGCACAGTAAGATTCTCATGTTCATACTATAACAATGGTGCTATGGAAAATAATGGCAATCAATCAGCCATTTGAAATACAGACAAGCAAACAAAATGATGGCAGAAAGAAAAGTATGTTAGAAAGTAGATACTTGAAGAGAAATCACATTTTGGTTTAGTTGTATAGCTGCAAATCATATTTGCTTCTGTTTTCTATACAAACAACCTTAACAAAGTGTCTGATAATGTTACACCTCTTAGGTAACGAGTTCTACACGGCAGCGCTGTTTTACCAGAACACTCTCACCTACCTAAATAGTTTTGGGGGCAAAATGCTGAAACGAGTCTTGTCTAAAATTTTCTTGATCCTATTTCTTCCACCGGATACAGTGTTTGCTTTCAGTTTTTTGTTTCCTTTCTCACGCGGAAATATCTGTTCCATGTCTCCTGGCATATCTGGGATGGAGTAACGGTTATTTTTCTTTTCTGCAATTTTTGGAATATGTGGGACTCCGTTTTTCTCCTGGCCTATCCGGCTAAGCAGCTCCTTAAATACTGTAAAAGAAGGCAAGTTAATTATAATTTCTTTTTACCCACTGAAAGCTGTTCTTTAACTCTTCCTTTCACCCTCAACAATCACCATAATATTAATAATAAAATTAAATAGTATTGTTGTAAACATGCTGACAGAAGATGCCTTAAGGGCTTAGTTCTCTTCCCACTGAATCTTGTATTGCATACAATTGGAAAAGGAGTAGGCCCTAAAAAATTAGCAAAAAAGAAATTGCAAGGAGAAAATATACTGCATTGGAGGGATCTTATAAATGCGAAGGAAAGTGGGTTAGGAGAAATGTCATCACTTACATTTTTCTAAATGACCATATCTGTGTGCGTCTACATGTGATGGTACGATGCCGTAGTAATGGGCTACACCAACGTAGCGTCCACGGGCAAAAACCATGCTGCTGCTGCTGCATCACTGTAGCAACACATTCCCTCGGTACAGTACGTTGGTACAGCAACGTAAGGGCTAAACATAACTGTGCACCACCAGCACAGCGTAATACGGGCTATTATTGTGCCGGCATTTAATAGTTACTTTTGGAAGTACTAAAAGATGTTTAGTACTTTTAGGAGTGCTCAATGCCGGTGCAGTAACAACAGCGCTGTAGGGGCACATGAAGACTCTCCCCCATATAGCAAATTTAATTGTACTATGTTACCATTCACTACAGTTAATTAGCTTCATAAAAGGGGAAACACTACATTCATATCAATCAACTGTTAGTATTTATTGACTTTCTGTGTCCACATCTTTCAGGTAATGGGATGCAGATGTTTCCTTAAACATACCTGTCAGACTGTCTGACATTTCCAAGGCCATTTTCTTTCATCTTCAATAAAGTAAGCTACCAAATATAATCTGCACTAACTGCTCTTCTGCATTTATCACCTATAACTGGTCAACCCCTTACACTGATACTTCCTGAAAACATTCCAAGAAAAATATTCCACCAATCTTATCTGTGTTTCTGTTCACCTACCCTCAAAGTGTTTATTAATTTCCACCCAGGAGTTTATTTATTTTATTTTACATCTCAGAGGTGGCTGAGATTAGACAAATGTTTTCAGCTGAAAACATATGGTGACATTCACACAATTTAGAGCTGCTCATCACTGAATTACTCATCTTTCTCCCCAAACCAGGCAGCCAACATATTCTAGATACAATTTCCAAATCAAATGGCATGCTTTTACCACATAGCAAAATCTAGACTTTAACACCTTAAAGTGTTAGTGATCTACTCAGGTCCCTTCCGACCCTAGAAACTATGAAACCTTCATAGGAGAAATTCAAGTATGAGGACAGGGGTTCGCTGATAAATTATGTGACTAGACAATGGCATAATCCCAGGTGTTTAGCACTCAATAACACATGAGGAAAAAGAGAAAGCACCTTGATATAATATTTTGGAGCAATAAAAATTACTCGGAGTTCTCCCATATAAATCTCTATGTACACTGTCGTAATGCTGAAAATATACACATAGTGAACCAGACTATCCTGAACCTATTTTTCTCTGAACACGGTAACCTGCAGAGGAAGCTGTCCAAAGGGGTACAACTACTAATGTCATTTTCTGTTAGCATAAGTCACTGACTGCAGAGGATTTTTTTAAGATTATTTTGTCCTTGTTTTGCTTGCGACAATAAACAATGTCAAAGATCAAGAGACTTTTTTTTTTTTTTTACCTCTACAGTGGTGTACAGAAAAAAGAAAGTCATTTAAGAAAAGAAGAATCAGCAGTGAACAAAGATAAATTACTGAAGGAAGAACATGAGCAAATGAGGCCCAGGAAAGAAAAAGACTATTAGAAACCCCATATGCAACACATTTAGTAAGTCAGGAAAGGGAAACCACGTGCATTTTAGGGAAACCTCATTCTTACAACATCTGTGTTTGCATTGTTATTTGCACACCACCACTAAAGTCTGGTTGGTCTGACAGAGATTGTAAAGAGGTAATTCTTCATTCTGACAACTCAGATCTAATATCATGCCACTGCTTTCTAGTTCAGCTGTAAAAGGCAGTCATGCTATGCTTCTGCCTCCCACTGTTAAAGCTATAGGAAAACTGGATTTTACATCTTGGCAGAACATATGACTGAGAAAAGACAGAAGTGAGTGGACTACTGGTTCATGCACTCTGGGCTGGATTTTACAACTCCATCTTCAGGCATTTTTCATCAAGGGACAGACAGTCAAGATTACCAACTGGGGCAGTTAAGCTGCTCAGTGGTTGATTGAGGATTTGCCAAGGAGTAAAGAGTTGGTTGAGCTTGCTCCTATCCACCTTACCTGCAATCCCTGGCCCAGGAGATGTGCCTACACAAAAGGAGGCACGGCTGGAGTAAGTCACAGGTGGCCGACGAACCCTTCTGGCAGTCCCGAGGTTTTCAGGATAGGAACACAGGTTTATTTTATATTGGATAGGAAAGCCTACTCACCAAAAATGTTTGTCTTTACTGTAATGGAAAGATGAGTATTGTTCCTCAAGATTTCAAGGGCTTTCACAAACGTAATGTTCTCAAAGTTCTGCCCATTTACTTCCATTATCTTTTAAGGGGGGAAAAAATAATTTTTAGATTGACCATCATTAACTGTCTTCAATGCTCCAAATGTACTATTTAATGAGATAAAACAGGCACCATAAAAATCTTCAGAGGCTACTATACTGCTATCTTTATGGATAGTACAAAAATAGTAGATAGTACAAAACTATTCCTTAATTAAAAAAATCCTAATACTTAAATGTAAATGGTTCCTGTATACAAGTCTGTATGAATAAACAGGCTTATAAGTTACACTATAATTACAGTATATCCCTTTAACAGTGTTTTTTAAAACAAGCCATTTTCATGATACTTTTGACTTTTCCATAGTATTTTTAATATGAAAAAGAATTCCACATTCAAAGTGTAATCCTTCAAATAGCACAGAGGTCACTCAGTAATGAGCAAATGCCTACTATTTTAAGTCTTTTAAATTTCAAACAAACATGTTCTTGAATATGCTGTAACTGGTTGACAAAGTATTGTTAAAATTACATTGGACACATGAATATTTTTATGGGGCATTACCTGATCGCCACGCTTCAGCCCAACTTCTGCTGCTTTGCTGCCTGCTTCTACAGTCTCTACAAATATACCAAAACCCTTCTCGCTTCCTCCCAGGAGGCTGAAAAACAGAGGCGAGTCTCTGGAAGCCTTCTGCAGGGTAATTTGCCTCCATTTTGCCTTGGCAGCACAAGCAATATTCAACAACCTGAGGTGCCCCTTCATTTTCTGTAAACCAGAACACACACAAGTAAATACAATGTTTCTTCCACTAGAACTGGAAACATGATTGATAAGAAGGAACTACAGGAAAATGAAACTATATTTTTAAGAACCCAGCTCTTAAGAAATAATCCCTGTTATTTCTTATTTAGGGCAATTGGCTAGTTACCTTAGATGTGTGTACACAAATGCACAGAACCCGGGAAACAAGAATTGGAAGGAAGAACTGGAAGCCCCTGCACAGGCACAGAGCTACGACGTGATTGGAGTAACAGAGACGTGGTGGGAGCTCGCATGACTAGAGCATAGTCACGGGTGGGTACAAACTGTTCAGGAAGGACAGGCAGGGAGAAAAGGAGGAGTTGTGCTGTAGGTAAAAGAGCTGTACGATTGCTCAGAGCTCCAGTAAGAAACTGGAGAGAGGCTTGTTGAAGGTCTCTGGGTTAAGGTTGGAGGGGAGAGCAGCAAGGGTGATGTTGTAGTGGGGGTCTGCTATAGACCAGATGAAGCTTTCTTCAAACAGCTAGTGGAAGGTTCCCAATCACAAGCCCTGGTTCTCATGGGGGACTTCAATCACCCTGACATCTGCTGGGAGGACAACACAGCAGCGTGCAGAAAATCCAGGAAGTTTTTGGACAACTTCCTGGTGCCAGTGTCGCACCAGCCAACTAGTGACCACGCTCTTCTTGACCTGCTGGCTCACAAACAGGGATGAATAGGTGGGGAGAGTAGCAGTTGTTTGGCAGCAGTGACCATGAGATGATTGAGTTCAGGATCCTGAGGAGGGCCAGGACAGACAGCAGCAGAGTACAGACCCTGGACTTCAGAAAAACAGACTTCAACTCGCTCAGGGAACTCATGGGCAGGATCCCCTGGGAAGCCAGTCTGAGGAGGAGAAGAGTCCAGGAGAGCTGGCTGTACTTCAAAGAAACTAGCAAGAAACTAGAAAGACTAGCAAATATGGCAGAAAACCAGCCTGGCTTAGCAGGGAACTCTTCAGTAACCTAAATCACAAAAAGGAAGCTTGTAAGGGTAATCTTGGACAAATAACTAGGGAGGAATATAAAAGCACTGATCAGGCATGCAGGGACGAAGTCAGGAAGGCCAAAGTGCAATTGGAGTTGCAACTAGCAAGTGATGTGAAGGGTATCAAGAAGGATTTCTACAAGTATGTCAGTAGCAAGAGGGGGATCAGAGGAAGTGTGGGTCCCTTACTGAATGGGGGGCAGACATCCTAGTGACAGAGGATGCTGAAAAGGCTGAAGTGCTCAATGCCTTCTTCACCTTAGTCTTCACATGCATGGTCAGCTCCCAGACTACTCCACTGGGCAGCAGAGTTTGGGGAGGAGGTGAGCAGCCAACAGTTGCAAAAGAAAAGGTTAAGACCTATTTATAAAATCTGGACATATACAAGTCCATGGGGCTGGACAGGATGCACCCAAGAGTGCTGAAGGAGTTGGACAATAATTGAAGAGCCCCTGGCCATCATCTTGGAAAACCTATGACTATCAGGAGAGGTCCCAGATGACTGGAAAAGGTCAAACACAGTGCCCATTTTTAAGAAAGAGAAAAAGGAGGATCCAGGGGACTACAGACCAGTCAGCCTCACCTCAGACTCTGGAAAAATCATGGAATCCCCAAGGAATCCATTTCAAAGCACTTGGAGGAGAAGAAGGTGATTAGGACCAGTGAGCATGGATTCACTAGGGGCAAGTCATGCCTGACCAAACAGACTGCCTTTTATAACGAGGCGACTGGCTCTGTGGATGCGGGGAAAGCAGTGGATGTGATATACCTTGACTTTATCAAGTCTTTTGATACCATCTCCCACAGCATTCTTGCAAGCAAAATAAGGAAGTACAGGTTGGGTGAATGGACTGTAAGGTGTATAGAAAACTGGCTGGACCATTGGGCTTAGCGAGCAGTGATCAATGGCTCGAGGTCCAGCTGGCAGCCACTATCAAGTGGAGTGCCCCAGCAATTGGACTTGGGCCCAGTTTTGTTCACTATTTTCATCAATGATCTGGAATATGGCACAGACCGCTATCTTCCTCAGAAAGTGTGCAGAAGACACCAAGCTGGGGGCAGTAAAAGATACCCATGCACCGGTACAGCTCTGCAGAAAAGGACCTGGGGGTTACAGCAGACAGTAAGCTGAATATAAGCCAGCAGTGTGTCCTTGTTGCCAGGAAGGCTAATGGCATATTGGGCTGCATCAGTAGGTGTTTTGCCAGCAGGTCAACGGATCTGACTATTCCCCTCTATTCTGCACTGGTGAGGCCACATCTGGAGTAGTGTTCAGTTTTGGGTCCCCCACTACAGAAAGGATGTGGACAACTTGGAAAG